TACTGTACTTGCAAATTTAAATTGCATAAACTAAGTATTTATTGTTTTCTCAAATTCACTTCAGTTTTTCTGTCTCTTGTTCTTGCGGTGATGTAATCTCAGTCTGATGATGCATGCTAATTTCTTAGACTCATTAATTCTAAGATAGTTATTTCCCTTTTACTGTATACAGAAAGCTGTCCTCTCATTGCTAGCGGATGTTCGAGGTGGAGATTTGGTGCAGAGGTCTGTTAAAGGAACCAAAAAGCGAACATCTATAGGTGTATCTGATGTCATTATGAAGAAATGCCGTGCTGTATTGCGTGGTGTTGCAGCCGCAGACGAAGATAAAGTCTTTTGCACTTTGCTGGGGCGAAAGTTGCTGAATTCCAGTGATAATGATGATGACGGGCTCCTGGGAACACCTGCAATGGTTTCGCGTCCCTTAGACTTCAGAACTATTGATTTGAGGTTGGCTGCTGGTGCATATGACGGATCAACTGAAGCTTTTCTTGAGGATGTTCTTGAGGTGGGAATTTCCCTCTTATGTCTGATTTTTTTCTGCAATTGATGGCATGATGCTTTTTGTGCGATTTAACAATTAGTTTCTGAATGCTTATAGTAAAAGTGCTATATATTCAATTTGGGCATTGCCTGTTTGTGCTGTTTGTTTCACACTGCTAGTTTAGATGCATAAATGTAAAAGTATCGCAAGAGCCAGCTTTATATTTGGAATACTTTTGCCTCAGCAGAATCAGGTTAAACTTTAGGTTGAAAGCCAGAATTTTTGCTGGCTCATTGGATAACATTTTAGCTATGATTGGAAGTCGAAGCAACTGAGTCTGACAGTATATGACTTATTTTTAAATTTTCATTGTGATAGTATTCCTGGACGCAGTTCTTTTTTATGCATGCAACTTGATATTTTATGGTAGACATGCTAACTTTAACTTTTTAATTTGCAGCTGTGGAGTAGTATACGTGTTATGTATGCAGATCAGCCCGATTATGTGGAACTGGTTGCAACATTGTCTGAAAAATTCAAGTCGTTATATGAAGCTGAGGTTTGTCTTCTCTCTCCTTTTTCTGCTATGCTCTGCACAATAAGATATATTCATTACTTAGTAGCATCTTGATGTGGAAACAGTCATTTATATCTTGGCACTTTTGTGGAACAAATGTGTTAAGATTTATCATTTGTGAAAGTTATAGGCCTTTAAGATCAAAGAAGCATCTGAAGATGCCCATTAATGCTATATGCTTTAGATGGGTTCTTCCTTTTGTGTGCATGTATAATTTTCGTTGTGTTCGCCTTTCAGAAATTGTATGCATGTTCTCCTAATTTCTATGAGAAAGTTGCTGTATCGGGGTGCAATTATTTTCTCAAGTTTCAAGCCTTTATTTGTTTGCTGGTATAGGTTCTACCACTCGTTCAGAAACTTATGGAGTACAGGAAATTGGAATGCCTAAGTGCAGAGATGAAGAAAGAAATTAAGGACATAGTTGTTTCAGTAAATAAGCTTCCCAAGGCCCCGTGGGATGAGGGGGTATGTAAAGTATGTGGTGTTGACAAAGATGATGACAGTGTTCTCTTGTGTGATACATGCGATGCTGAGTATCACACTTACTGTTTAAATCCACCTCTTATTCGAATTCCTGAAGGAAATTGGTATTGTCCATCTTGTGTCATTGCCAAACGCATGGCTCAAGAGGCTTTGGAATCTTACAAACTAGTCAGGCGGCGGAAAGGTAGAAAGTATCAGGGGCAACTCACCCGAACTTCTATGGAAATGACTGCTCACCTGGCAGATGTGATGGAAGAAAAGGACTACTGGGAGTTCAGTGCTGAGGAGGTCAGTTTTGAAACTTGTCTCCCATTTTTTGCTCATTCACATAAAATATGTCAACTTTTCATTCGCATCTTGGAGATGAAGACCATGATTACATTTCCTATGTAATCTTTAGCTTATGTATTGCCACCATGATTGTATTTTTGTGATTAATTGTGCCAGTGATTTCTTTACCTATAAATTCTTACAATCTTTTGGTGCTGTTTCTAATGTTATTGTGGTTGAATTTTTCCCTATTCTGATGCAGAGAATCTTGCTGCTCAAGCTTCTATGCGATGAACTGCTTAGTTCATCTCTTGTCCATCAACACCTTGAGCAGTGTGCCGAAGCAATAATTGAAATGCAGCAGAAGTTACGCTCTCTTTCCTCAGAATGGAAAAATGCAAAAATGCGCCAAGAATTCCTGACGGCTAAACTCGCAAAGGTTGAACCGAGTATTCTGAAGGAAGTGGGTGAACCACATAATTCAGGTCACTTTGCAGACCAAATGGGATGTGATCAACGACCACAGGAGGGCGTTGGAGACGGAGTTACTCATGATGATTCCTCTACTGCATATCTTAACAAGAATAAAGGTAAAGCTCCGCTTGAAACCGATTCTCAACCTGGAGAGTTTCAAGATTCTCAACCTGGAGAGTCGCATGTTAATTTCGAGAGCAAAATTTCCTCCCCAGAAACAATTTCATCCCCTGGAAGGCATGAGAAACCTATAGCAGATACCTCTCCTCATGTTACGGATAATCCGTCTTTTGAAAAATATACCTCAGAGACCTTGCACAAGTCAGTTGGAAGGAATCATGAAACACATTCACTAAATTCCAATGCAGTAGAAATCCCGACAGCTCATGATGCATCTTCTCAAGCTTCCCAAGAGTTGCAGGCTTGTCTACAAGATTTGAATGCCACTAGTCATGAAATTCACAATCTGCAGCAATCAATTAGAAGCATAGAATCACAGCTTCTAAAGCAATCTATACGGAGAGACTTTCTGGGAAACGATGCTAGTGGTCGTTTATATTGGGGTTGCTGCTTCCCAGACGAAAATCCTCGTATATTGGTTGATGGAAGCATATCTTTGCAGAAACCTGTTCAAGCCGATTTGATGGGTTCAAAAGTCCCCTCTCCGTTTCTCCATGCCGTTGACCATGGAAGACTAAGGCTTTCACCCTGGACTTATTATGAAACCGAAACCGAGATCAGCGAGCTTGTCCAATGGCTTCATGATGATGATCTGAAAGAAAGAGACCTGAGAGAGTCTATTTTGTGCTGGAAAAGGTTACGATTTGGGGACGTCCAAAAGGAAAAGAAACAAGCTCAGAATTTATCTGCTCCGATATTGGCTAGGGGTCTTGAGACCAAGGCTGCCATGTCAATGGAGAAGAAATATGGTCCATGCATCAAACTAGAGACGGAAACCTTAAAAAAACGGGGGAAGAAGACAAAGGTTTCACAGCGAGAGAAATTGTGTAGATGCGAGTGCTTGGAATCCATTTTGCCATCCATGATTCACTGCCTCATATGCCATAAAACATTCGCAAGTGATGATGAGTTTGAAGAGCACACTGAGAGTAAGTGTATTCCTTATTCATTAGCAACTGAAGAAAGCAAGGAAATCTCTGATTCTTCAAAAGCAAAAGAAAGTCTGAAATCTGATTATCTTAATGTAAAGTCTAGCGCCGGCAAAGCTGTAGGTGAAATATCCAATGTGTCTGAACTTGATTCTGGGTTGATAAGATATCAAGAAGAAGAATCTATTTCCCCATACCATTTTGAGGAGATCTGCTCCAAGTTTGTGACAAAGGATTCTAACAGAGATTTGGTTAAAGAAATTGGTCTGATCGGTTCAAATGGCATTCCAACATTTCTTCCAGCGTCATCTACTCACCATAACGACTCAGTGCTCATCAATGCCAATCCCAATAAGCTAGATGGTGGTGATTCAGGGGACCAGGTCATTTTTGCTGGTCCTGAAACCAATGTTGAAGGCTTAAATTCTGAATCTAACTTGTCATTCGATGGATCTGTCACTGACAATCATGGCGGTCCACTGAATAAACTGACCGGACTGGGTTTTGGCTTCTCAGAGCAAAAGAATAAGAAATCTTCAGGTAGTGGGCTGAAAAGCTGCTGTGTGGTTCCACAGGCTGCTTTGAAAAGAATAACTGGCAAAGCTTTGCCGGTTTTCAGGTTCCTTAAAACCAACTTACTTGATATGGATGTGGCACTGCCTGAAGAAGCTTTAAGACCATCGAAATCTCATCCAGACCGTAGAAGAGCTTGGCGTGTATTTGTGAAATCCGCGCAAAGCATATACGAGGTTTGGTTTAATCCTTAACCCTTTCTCCCCTCTATTTATTGAAACACAGAACAAGATCGTTTTTCTAATGTCTAATAAGCCTTTCATGTATATTTCAGTTGGTTCAGGCAACATTTGTGGTAGAAGATATGATTAAGACAGAGTACTTGAAAAATGAATGGTGGTACTGGTCTTCTCTTTCAGCGGCTGCTAAAATCTCGACTCTCTCAGCGTTATCCGTTCGTATCTTCTCCCTCGATGCAGCTATCATTTATGATAAACCCATAACCCCATCAGATCATAACGATGAAACTAAGCCGATCATCAGCTCACCAGACCAGAAGTCACAGCCGGTTTCAGATTCACAAGAAAAAAGCAGCAGAGTAAACAGAAGATCTGGTAAGAAGAGGAAAGAACCCGAGGGATCATAGTTATTTATTAAAAACCACTGGAAAAACCTCATCAGCCCAGCCAGCGGGAATGTGAACCGGAAATGTGGATTTTATCTTTTCCGGTTTAGTCAAAGTGGAGCCAATGTGTATGTGTAGATATAGGCAATGTTTCTATCTATCTGGAACCAGACCTGTAAGTTCCGGATGTTGAGATCTGTTTTGGTGGTTCATCACAAGAGGCCTAAGTCCGGTTTAGATCTTTCTTGGAATGGAAGTGACGGTTGATGGCGGTTCAACAGGTGGATGAGCCGAGGAAAGTACGTGTAGACGACATATATGTAGAAGACTAACTAATGTGAAATTAATTAGTATCAAAGTCGCTTTTTAGACATTAACTGATGTTAGAACGGAAACTTCAATTATTCTTTATAAATCTCTCTCTCGCTAGATACAGTGAATGGATCATTGAGAAGAAGATCAATCTTTCAACTTTAAAACTGAACACTGCATTGAACTAGGACGTGATTTCATAAACAGATAAAAATACTGTTGAACTGCGGAATTATTCCACGAGTCCACGATTATCGTCAACATGGAAACAACAAGACGACTGTTGTACTTAATAAAACACACATGAAATATATTTATTATCGACTGGTTTTTTAAGGCCATCCCCAGAAAGCCAATGATTCACCGTGATCGTGCGACGGTGAAGTGGTGGGCACAAAGACGTCGGCGAAACAGCTCCGGTCATTGTCATTATCACTGGCGTTGGTGTCTTGGATGGGTACGATGCTTGGGAAGTAAGAGTCACAACTGTCTAGTAGTTGAGGTGCGTCTTCGTCTAGTACCGCGCTCCCAACACTCCCTGAACTTAACCGGTCCTCGGTTTTGATTGCTGCCGGGTTTATGTATACCGTATCGAGTTGGTTTGGTTCGGGCACTAGACCCGGTGGTTCATTAGCTGTCTCTTCTTTGCCCTGGAGCTTTTCGGTCAGGGAAGTAACCTGTTTGGAAAAGATTCTTAACTTTAATCACAACGGTCAACACAAGCAACCTCTCCCATAAAAAATATAATTAAATTCGTTTGATTGATTTGAATTTGATTCCCAATTTTTCTTTCTTTTTTCTAGTCTTGAAAAAAGGAAAAGCAAATTCTCTTTTCACTTGTTGGACCAATAAGGTAAAAATCATTCCATTACTCACCAAAAAAAAAAAAGGTAAAAATCATTCCATTTATAATAATCTTGTTGAGATTAATATATAGTCCCATATATATAAATAAGAGATATACCTCGGATCTGAGCTTATCGTTGTCCTTGACGATGGAGTCGTAGTTAGAGAGAAGTTGATCGTAAGTGGACTTGAGAAGATCGTAGTCTCTCTCGAGCTGTTTTGTTTTCCAACGAGCTCTGCGATTCTGAAACCAGACAGCCACTTGCCTTGGCTGTAGACCAAGCTTCTTGGCAAGCTGAGTCTTGCGGTCTGGCTCCAGCTTGTTCTCTGTCTCGAAGCTTTTCTCCAGCAGATGCACCTGAAACCACACATATCATTATGAGAATCTACGACTTGTTTTTGAACAGTATGTTGTGGATAGTGAGAGAATCTATATATATACTTGTTCGGTAGTGAGGCGACGCTTCTTTTCGGGCAACTGGTCGTCGTAATAGTCGTCGTCGTAGAGATCCTCAGGGGAGCTAAAGAAGGGCCTTCGCTTTGATGTTTCCTCCATCGATCTTGCTCCTCCTTCACAAATTCAAAGGAACCAGTGCTGTCAATAATCCGATGTTGAGATTCATATTCAAATTGTATCCACAAAACAGCAAACAGGGGAGAGATTGAGTGAGAAAGGAACCTTGGACGACGGGATTGAGATTCCCAAGGAAGAACATGTTGTTGTTGCCATGTGAAGCAGATGGACCGAAGAAAAACGAATTGGATTCCATTGATTAACAGAAATAAAAACAACAGATCGAGAAAGCAAGAGAGGATTAAGAAGATGGAAAGAGACAAGGATTAGAAGATCATGATCTTATGACGGAAGAAGCTTGTACTCCATAGTAATCTCGCCGGTGACTCCAACGGGCAGATACAAAATCCCATCATCGATCAACTGCAATTCCCCTCCGTTACCAGAGGGATCAAGAAGATCCAAGAAGAAACCTTATCTATTTTCCAATTTTGGAAAACCCGCCAATCAATCAGATCATAATCTTTAGGTTTTCCGATTGATTCTTAAAAAGAAATTCAAATCGCAGAGAGAGAGAGAAGTTCCTTGTTGGTTTTGTACTTGCAATGCGAGCGTTTTAGCTAAACTCATTTGCTTCAACAAACGCCGTCTTTTATACCACCAGCTCTCCTTGTTAAATGACTCTTATACCCTCCCTCTCTTTTATATCAAACGGTAACACTTCAAGTTTCTTTTTTTGACGGCAATAATATCATATTTCCTTATGTTTTACTTTTCTTTTTCTACATCTCACATTTTTGCAATTACCTGGATTTAATATTTGTGTTGTGTCACACAAGAACAGATACTAATGAGAATAACTAGGCTACAAATTTATATCAACTAACAACTATATGTAAGAAAATCATACTACTTGTTTAAATTAAAAATGACATGTTCTTTCAATTTTCTTCTATAACACTACTTAAATCCTAACAAAAGTTTTTTCAACAAAATCTGAAGAATTTATATTATGGGATGATGATGGAATGGATACATCACATCACATGATTAATAATTTCACTGCTGGCCAATGAGGGCAATTGTGGTAGATCGAATGTGATTGGCTTTTACAATCGGAAGTGGACTTTTCTTAGCTCTCTGGGGTCCACTTTCTTTAGCGAGTGGACTCGGCAACAGATCTCATCCGTTGGATTTGAATTATACCTTTTTTCTAAAGTTATTTATTATTATTATTAAAAAATAGTTTTATTCAGCTGTGGTCGTTCGGCCAGAGTGTGTTAAATAGGGTTGCATACTCGACGGTCGGGTCAGTCTAGGATCTACGCTTGATTAGCATTCATCTAACGGTCCTCTTCATCTTGTCACTTTCCATTTTGCACAGCCCCGTCACTTTATCATCATTTCATTTAAAAATTCATTAAAATCATATTCACGTCATTCCTGTCTTTTATTTGTTTCTTATTTTAATGCACCTTGACGTCGTCTTGCACACAAAATTATTTCTAAATGATAGAATTGTGTGACTTTTTTACAATAAAATTACTCTTAAATCTCATTTACATGGTTAGTAACTTTTGTGTATTATCTTGTAATTCTTCAAAACTGCATTTAATAAAATGATCAGTTTATGAAAAAACTTATATACTCTACAACCAAAATTTGGTGAATATCGATTTCATGTCACCTTACGGAGGGAAAAAAAATAGACCAGGTGCATGGAATATCTAAAGAGTGTACTAGTTTTCTATATAAAATTCATTTTAGTTATATTAACTTATCATGTTAACACAAGTCCCCACGTAGCTTCGTCCTGTCTTTTTTTTTTTCTTTACATATTCAACTATTTTCTCTGAGTTAGTAATTTTTACAGTATTTGTTACTACTATTTCATGATCTTGTTTTCAGTGATATAAGTGGAATTGACATTCATAATACTCCTATTTCATGATCTTGTTTTCAGTATATTTTAATTTATTTTAAAAAATATAATATTCCTCGTTCGTTTTCATTTCTTCATGACTCTTCAGCTACCCAAACTGCAAATACTCTTTATATATTATGCATACATGTGTATGCATGTTTGTTTATACGACTTCATCAATATATGCTTTGTATACATACATATTATAATATGTATACATACTGTTGATCAAGAAAAAGCATTCCAATTTGATAAATAGATTAATACAATATGAGATCAGTAAGAAACTATTATTGATCATGATATACATATGAATATGATTTTGGCCTCTGTAGAAACTTACTACACCCTAGTTATTAGAATTTCCTAATTTCTTTAACCATTATAATATAACATTTTTTTGTGCATAACATTTGCTCATTCCACCGTATTTCTCCCGCTGCAAGTATTTAAAATCCTCGTATTTGTATTTTTCTGTTTTTTTTTTACCTTAAAGGTAAAAAATATATTTGTAAATAAGATATATAGATGGGAAAATATGCTTAATTACGATTTTAATTTGTCTTCTTCCATTCCATGTGTTAGCCAGTTGGATATCTATGGACATTTCCAATAAAGGAATATCTTTCAGCACCCAAATAAGAATAAAAAAGGAGAAAAGCTTGGATTTAAAAAATAAAATAAAAATAGTATACTAAAGAAAATTTAAAAGATTGTTTTTTTTTCACTTCTCCCCAAGAGATAACAATCTTACACACACGCAACAAAAAATGGAAAATAAAAAATCATAATCATTATAGTGATTGATAATGTAACCCAGTTCAGAATTGAAACCTCTATGTTTTACTACTATAGGTTACAATTTTTTTTATCATCACAAGCTCTAATTAATTCTACATAGTATCGATCGCAAATTGTTATTAAATAACTAGGAAGTTGACTCATCATATTCTATGATATCGACATGTTAATTAGAAATTGTACACTTAGCTTATAATGGAATGTATATTTGATTCTGTTTTCATTAATTTCTCAAATTAGCGCTAATTTCTTATAAATGAAAACCATGATCATTTTGTGTGTTCATCAAAAAAATCTCAAATCGAAGTAAAAATGTAAAATTATCTTCATCTCATTAAGATAGCAACACAAAAAAGAATCAATGTTTTCCTTTTGTAATATTTTTTCTTCACAACTAAGATATGAGGCCTTGAAAATGGTGGCATCTTTTTCATTGGATAGTGTCTTCTGAGGTTTTCCTTTTTATTTTTCCAAAAATAGGGGACTTTTTTTCTTTATACCTCTATTATTTGCTTTACTGAAAAGATGATTGGCACAAAATGTTCATGAAATTAAAGCATTAAAACACACAAATATTGGTTAAAGAAACACCACAAAAACGTATTAATTTTCAAGGAAAAAAAAGGAGAGAATACGTTATATTGCAGTTGTGGATCTTCGTCTATGGATGATTTATTATTGTTCATTTCGGCAAAAACTGCAGCGTCGATAAATTTTTGATATGGAAAAATGGTGTTTAAGAAAGAAAGGAAATAATTTTGCCCAAAAAAAAAAAAAAAGAAAGAAAGGAAATAAAAGAAAAGAAGCAGAACACCTGAGAGGAACAATGACTTTAGGACGTGTTGGTAGTGGATTGTGTCGCCATGTGTGTGGTTCTCTGAAAAGAAGATCAATCTATAAAGGTGTGAGCACCATTCTTATTTCTTAGTTTAATAGTTTCCTCCACTATATATATCTTTTTTTTCTTCCTCTTCAATTTCTTCTTCTATCTCTTAAAACGAAAATACTAAATAAATTTTTTAAATACATAGTAGTTTAATAAAGGGAAACTTTCACTGGAATCGTTACTATCTGTCATGATATTCATATTAGCTTCTTTTTCTTTTTATTTTCAGGGCCACCATGTCATTTTCAGAAAGATGAAAAGGATATAATTATTAAATTTATATTGAAGTAAAAGTATATTCAGTCTTTTCGTTTGAGAAGGTCCATTCATTATGGTATGGGGTTTTCCATTCTCACTGTGTGCGAACAGTGATATTCAACTTCTTCATCTCAAGCCACACACGTATACACATCTATCTTTACAGATACTTACATTTATAGAATTGTACAACAGTTCTTGTTACGCGTATGTACATTCGTCACGTAACGATTTACTAAAGCATATACTATTAGTTTATCATTTAAAAAAAAAAAACAATTTTGTTTTTAGCAATTGCTTTGGAGAGTGATAATTCTATAAATCGTGAAGCGTTTAATCATGAACTTGCGTTTCTTTTCGCGTTTAACCTGATATGTACTTAGGAAAGAAAGTACATGAGCATACTGCATACATGAAGTAAGAACCAAAAACTAGTTTTGTACTATACTAATTACGTTTGGGTTGACTTCATTTAAAGATCTCATCACTAATATTGGACTTAAGGTGATAATGCAAGACTCTAATAGGTCAAACAAAGTCTAATCCTGAACTTCCAAACAAATGAAGAAAATGAAATTAACATTTTTCATCACAAAGAAAAAAAATTTGTGTTAGTTTTTTTTAGTAAGTTATTAAATGAATGTTATTTCAATTCAGAAAAAAATCGAAACCAAAATAACAGAACGGATAAAGAATCTCAATCGCTTCCCTTATTTGGGCTCAGAACCTTCTTCTTCTAGTAGAGTCTTTCACTCTTAAGAAGAGAGATCTTTTGGCTGGATCTACTTTGTCCCTTAGCATCAAAACTCACCGTTTTCCTCTTTTGTTAACCTATTCGAGTGAATCTTCTTCATTTCTAGGGTTTCAGCCGTCTGTTCTTCCCCAATTACTGCTCATTTTTCTTCTCTTTCGTTTCTGGAAGATTGTTAGTGTTCGAAGTTTGCAGAGGTCTTGTGCTTTTGTCGGCTCCGGTTGGTTTGTGGTTGGTTTGACTGTTAGTGTTTGTTTCGTCTGGTGGTTGCTGCGTTAATCATTTTGCTTCTATTTCGGTTCTGGAAGATTGTTAGTGTTCGAAGCTCTTCGTGGGTTTGGGTAATTGTCGAATCGGGTTGGCGGTGTCTAGTGTGGCTGTTTGTGTTGGTTTCGTCTGGTTGGATTCGGCTGGTTGTTGTTACTACTTTGTTCTTTGGTTGTTTGCAGTCATGTCGGCCGCAATGGATAAAGCTCTTATGGCTCTGTCGCTGGATGAGGAAGATCTTCCTTTTGAGATGCCTGATCTCCCACAATATCGCTCTTGTGAAAAGAATTCTCTCAGTTTGGTTGGTCGTTTATTGAACCCAGAGCACCAGAGTATGTCTAATTTAATCCTGAATATGCCAAGGAAATGGCAGAAGAGTGACAGGATTCGTGGTATCGCGCTTTCTAACGAGAGGTTCCAGTTCATCTTTCGAACTGAGCACGATTTGGTTGAAATTTTGGAGAAAGGAGTCCACACATTCAATGAATGGGCGATTGCTTTAGAGAGATGGACTGAAGATCCTGCTCCTGATTCCCTGCAATTCATTCCGGTATGGGTTCAAATCAGGAATATCCCGATTAATCATTATACGAAAGACTCCATTATGCTTCTAGGAGAACTGGTGGGACAAGTCACAGAAGTAGTTTTTGATCCGGAATATGTGCCTGGCTCTTTTGCAGCAGGTACATCCGGGACTAATCAGAGAACTACCAATAACAGAAGAAGA